GCTACATACTATCGGGACCTACGGCCAAGGGACTACTACCAGCCTATGGCGAAAAAATAAGGGTGGACGGCTGACTTACTTAACCAGCCGCCACCCTACTATTACACGGGCTCCCACCACCTACGCCCCCCTCCCTCACCAACTCCAACCTACTATTCCTCAGGCTCTCAGCTCACGACTAGTTCCACACGCAGTCGATCTTCCCCCGCGCGCGGCTCCTCTGTCAGATACGACTGCTGATGCCCACATCGGCGCCGACGTATTTGTGACTGGCTGGTCGCCAGTCTTCCGCAGCCTCTACCGCCATCTTAGAGCTGCAGTTGCGCAGTCAGCCTCGGGAGTGGACAAAACAGCGAGACAGCTCACCTTGGCCTCTAATAGGGACATGCAGCCTCACCAGCCTCCAGGAGCCCAGACAGCACACATAAGGTCCCGAGCAGTATAAAGGAATCGGGGCCCACGTTCAGGGATTTTCGTATTGGACTTCGTACAGCAGCACGACAGTACACGGCTACAGTTTACATACGGCGTACTAGGGACACGACCGCACTGGGAACTATCACACCACAACATTCAGCACAGCCATGCGCGTGTGGTCCGACCTCGGTTCGACCTCCTTTCCTCCGCCCAGCTACCTCCAGCCTTAGCTACCATCGTTGCTACCTCCCTCGACCCTCAGCGCGACGGAGGGCGCGAGGAAGAGTCGCATACCAAGGGCAGGCCCAGGATCCCGACTCCAGCGAATGGCCGAGCCTACGCCTACTCCTACTCCAAGGCTCCCACTACGGCCCCTCACCGCTCCAACCTATTGGGAACTAAGGAAACTACTACACCACCTAAGGTGAACAACAGCTAGGCGGGGTCAACTAAGGTAAACCGAGACCCAGTACCCAGTCCGACATACCACCAGTGTACATTTACGACTCGAGCATTCTCGCGACTTCCAGGGCATTGTAAAAGCAGACCCAGGACACCAGCAAGCCAGAACATGGACGCCGCCTGCTTTTCTCGTGGACCCACGACCTGGGCAGCAATGGCGGCGCAGGCGACGACGGCGGAGCAAGCGGGGGCGACTGAGCAGCAGTCAGCCGCAGCAGGAACGGAGCTCAACCCGCAGCCCACGGTAGCGCAGAAGCCCCACGACAGGGGGGGCTACAGAGTGGCTGACCAGGTCGCGCACAACACACTCCAGAGCACGTCCGAGGCGTTCACGGAGGCGACCAAATACGGCGAGATGGCACTCCACGTCCTTCACAAGCAGAGGGAGCGGGTGGTGACCACGCTCGGGCGCATGAGCGGCAGGAGCCTGAACCCGCACGAAGAAGCTGAACGCAGCCAGGCAGAGCTCTACCTCAAAGAGCAGCTGCGCGACATTCACCACGCCATCAGCGCGTTGAGGAGCGCGATCGGCACCACGGACGACAAGCTTGGCAAGATGGTGCACGGACCGATGCCGTGGGAGCTCGACTACATGAGGCGCCAGGCGGACGAGATCGACCACATCTACACCCGCTGGACCAAAGGGCCGCAGGGCTACGCCTACGACGAGGCTTTCTTCTCCACCCAGAGTGCGACGGCAGCGACGGCGGCGGTGACGAAGCAGCAGGACCTCCTCCAGCCCACGCTCAGGCCGGCCTGCCCGAGCCCGAGCAAGAGCGCGCAGGGCTGGGAGAGCCGCGGGGTGGTCGTGGCCGAGGCCCCAGTCGCCGCGACGAAGGCCGACCGCAGCCCAGGCGCAGCTCAGAGTAGAGACGTGCGTCTCTTGTCGCCAAGGACGGCGTCGGCGGCAGGCTGGGGCGTCGGGCTCGGGACGACGTCGTGAGCTGAGAGCTGTTTCCATCGTTTCAGGCCTTGTTTTCCCCCCGCGAGAGCACCACGCGCTCGACCCAGGCAGTAGAGATTGGCACAGCATTCCATGTGTGAGCCAGCGCGGCCACGCCACCTTCATAGCCTTCCTCTGCTTGGATAGAGCCGTGCGTGAGCGGACGATGGGAGTGGGGACGGGACGCGTCCACCAAGTACAAGGCCGCCTCTCTCTTTTTTTCTTTTTCTTGCCGACTTGAGGGTGGGGGGGGGGAGAGGGGAGCGAGGGCGGGTGGGCTCTCAGCGGCGGGGGGCGCGCCCACAGAGTGAGGCAGCCCCCCTCCGCCTGCACCAGCTCCAGCGCTCAACCGAGGCAGGGTTCCCCTGCTAGCGAGGCCCGGGGACCACGTCTCAACGGAGGCGGGCCCCGTCGCCTCAGGCGGCCCTCACAGCCTACAGGTGGTGAATCGGGGCTCGCATCCACGTTTCCCCAGGGGTCGGCATGCCTGTCGGTAGGCGAAGTTGACAGACCCCCAAGGGCCTCATCCTTATCCTTATCCTCCAACTCCTCCTCCCCCTCCCCCTTCTCTTCCTCCTCCTCCTCCCTTCCCCCTCCTCCCTCTTCATCCTCCCTCCTCCTCCTCCTCCTCGTCGTCCTCCTCCTCAAACTAGAGGTCTTCAAAGTTCGACCGTGAAGCATAGCCAGAGCCTAAGCGCGCGCGAAGCGCGCGCGTGGTTCTAGTGTTTGTATATATATATACATAAATAAATATATTATCCCGGCAAAGCAACCTAACATCGATATGTAGAAGCATAGCTGGAGGCATGCAGCAGCAGTAACAGTCACAGTAGTAGTAGTAGTAGCAATAAGAGTAGGAGAGATGAAACAGTGGTAACAGTGAAGTAGTAGTTGTAGTTGGCGGGAGTGAACGAGTGAAGTGTAGTAGTAGTAGTGGGTGTAGTGGTAACAGTGAAGCGAAGTATAATTGGAGTGGGTGGATGGCAGTAGTAGTAACAGTGAAGTACGGCGGATGTCTTGGATAGTAGAATGGTAGTAGGGGAAGTTAGCCCCCGTAGTAACGGTATCAGTAGAAGTAATAGTAGCATGTATGTCGAAACGAGACACTGCTACGCCATGGAATGGGCCCGGGAACGAAATATAGAAATGTGGCCCGGGAATGGAGTTCTGGGTGGCGTACAGTTGGCTCCGGGCATTCAGAATGTGGCCCGGGAATGGAGTTCTGGGAGGTCGAAGAGCACGAAGTGTGTGACTGTTTGCGAAAAACGAGGTTCCGCGGATCCCCCTCGGAAATCCCCAACGGCTCCCCAACGGCTGCCCAGACCCCCTCTGTGGAGTAATGTGCTGCTCTCTTTTTAGCCCATTACAAACCTATCTTATGTTATATATATATATATATATATATATATATATAATATATATATATATATATAATGTGTGTATATATGCTGGCCAGGGACCACCTCGAGCAAGACCACAACTTTGAAATACTGAAAAGGCCGACCCCACATCCGCTGGCCTCTTGGTACGTCTTACGCCCTGGCTGGCAGCTGCAGGGGCCTTTCATAGAAAATGATGGGGTCCTCCTGGGTTGTCTAAGTGGCCTACTCCACGGGCCCGTCTCAGGGAGCCCGTACTCTCGTGCACTCCCAGGGTCAACCCGGGGAGTCATCGAGGGCTGTCAAGGAGGCAACGGCTTCCACCACCCGCACGAGACGTCGTGGCAAGATGACGCTGGCGTTGGCGACATCGTGTGTCGATTTCCAACACGGTCCCGGTGCCGTGGTCATTTCGGGGGGGAAAGCGCTGGTTTCGACCAGGTTCGAGGCCCAGAGGCGCCCTAAGCCTTCGTGATCCCCGCATCCGCCTTGGTCTCGAGCATGTAATACCGGTTCTTAAAGGCCCAGTGCAGAAAGCGAGGGAAGTCTGGGGCATGCGTGTTTCGTGGGGGCGCGAATGATGGTCTCGGAAGAAGCAGCCAGCATCAACGAATTGCAATGGCTTGGCACATTCCGATGTGATGCAAGCAAGGTGGTGGATATGCCACAGGGCGCAGAAACAGTGTTTTACTTGTGTCGTCGGCACGCGTCGCATTGTCTATCGTTGCTCTCTAGTTGCCTCGGGTCTATCCCGCCACCGTGCTGTGGGGGCATCCAAGAGAGATCGGGGGACAATGGGGCTCTTTGGAACATCTTGACTGGTAGAATGTATGGGCACAAAGCCCAGCGCACCCCTTGAGGCCAAACTTGCAGGAAGATCAGAAAGGTTTGTCAACAGTTGTGGCATCCAGGAGGCTCACGCGCATCACCCCCGAAATCCCAGCAGCATTTGAAAAGTCTGGTAATTCGGAGGTCTGGGCCTTTCAAATTTGACGATATCCACATCATTCGCAAGTGTATGAGCTTTGAGGCAATGCACTATGTGTTGAAGGTACGGTGGTGGATACGTACGATTATTTTGATTCCAACGCATGGTAACGATGCGATCCGGCAGATTGCCATCCAGGGGTTGGCTCGTGTCCCATTGTGTCGTCACTCGCTGTCGGCAGGTTCCTCCGGGCAGTTCGGGGTAGATTGTCTCTGCAAGTTGTCCTTACGCATTTCGTGATGTTTGCACATTTTGCACTATTGCTTTCGGATTTGCGCACGTCGCAAGAGGGCTTCTTCCGGAGCTCGCAGTTCAGCTTTCATGCCACCACACTTCTGTCTGTTCGGAGCCTTGCGTAGCTCCAGCTTTATAGCACTGTGTGTCACGACCTCGCCTGCAAGGCAAGTTTCAGTGCTCTGTTCATATCAGCCATCGGCTGCGTTTCGAGGTCCCAGGAAAGTTGATAGACGTGTTCATGGTGAAATTATAGTTTCCATCCCATTGTGCCCAGCTTTCTGGCGACCAGGATAACCATCCAGGGGGCACGAAGAGGTCGCGAATTGGTATATTTGCAAAGTTCGGGGGTTGGGACATGGCCAGCGTGCCACCAGGAGTTTCGCGTCTGGTATGCCAAAGAACTGTTGTGCTGAATAATGTGTTGCAGATCCTCAGGGTAGCTTTCAGAATATAGGGGTCGGTAGTCTGACAACAACATGCAACAAGCAAATTAAAGTATGTCAGGTCTTTGCGTCCCTCGCCATCACCGCTTCCTTCCTCCAGCATGACGCGCAGTGTCAGTTCTGCATGCGAGGATCTCCACCAGTGCTTTAAGGGTGCGCTGGAGGCAATGGAGCTAAGTGACAAGAGTACTGGTTTTGTCCTCATCGGCGCTTATTACTACCTTCAGGATTGGATGTGCAAGGGGGCAGGGCAATATGAGTTAAAATGCTGCGGAGGGCAATTTGAAGATAAACTGGTATGAGGAAGGAGTGTCATGTTGAATTTGCGCACGCTTGGAACCCAGAGTTTTGAGTATACAGCGAGTGGCATGGAGCAGTTCAGAAGAACAGCAATGGCAACATTATGCTTTTGAGGGAGTGCAGGCAGACGACCTGATGCTCACCACCCAAACGTGGCGGTCGCTCGTCGTGACTGCGGCTTCTTTGCTGCCGTTTCGTAAATATGCAGAAGGGGCATGGTACCGGGCAGTGGGCGAGCGATTAAAGTTCCAGACGTTTCGTTGATCCATGATATAGTTGCGCGGTTTGCACGCTTCTTGCAATCTACCTGGCAACGCTGCTCGGTACCCTGCAGTCCACGCCATGGAACCACGAGGGGTTGATGGATGAGGGAGGAGGACGGCGAGGAGGAGAAAGGCTTGCTGAGCGCCCCACCCTCTGTGGCCGAGGTCCAGAGTGGTTTGGGCCCCTTCCAGAGGGATGAAGGGCGATGTGACACCAAAAGCCCTGGAAGATTGCCTCTACCCTCCTAATCTGAGATCGCCTGATGTCTGGCCCACCTTCTCAGTCCATGCCGGGCGTTCCAAGATGGCCTCACCATCGAGGAGTCGCCTTCGGCTGAAGTTAGTAGAAGGTCGGCGGAAGCAGGCGGAAATAAAACGAGGGAGGCTTTGCCAGTGGAAGTTGGCGGTTGAGAGACGTAAAAGTTATCGTATCAAGAGATTCGAATCGGGATTTTCGCAGCGGCCAGTCCCCAGGGTGCTTTCTGCCGCCGCGGTACTTCGCAGAAAGATTGGCTCCAAGACAAGGCGCAGGAGAGATGCCATTGACGCCCCAAACCTTGATACCTGAGCATCTTGGCAGATCCCCAGAGGTCCCTGGAGGTTGCCATAGGCAGCCCAGAGAGGGGCTAAGATTGCCAGTAACTCGTTTATCCTCGATCGTCCTTCGTCGTGGACAAAACAGCTACGATGGGCGACGTAAAGAACATGTTCAAATGCGCGTGCATTCATGCGTAAGTCGCTCACGTAAGAGCGCACTTCAGCGCCCTCTTTTCCGCATGGGCGGCCCGCCTGAGCCATCGCGTAAGGTCGCCGTGCCCTCTCGCGCAAGGCCCCATCTCTTGAGCGGACGAAGAACGGTATCAAATCGATGTTTCCGCCGTCGGAGATTCCTGTCCACGCTGGTGGAAAAGCTTATGTTGCGCCGGTCTTCGTCCGCCACCGCCATCGCGCTGGCATAAGGAAGGGCTCTTCTGGCCGCGGCGAGCCTTGAGAAGCGGCCCGAAAACCAGAGCCCCTCCTGAGCCCAAGGTGGTCCTTATTTCAGCGTCTTGGCCGTAGGCCCCCAGGAGGTCCTCAATCAAGCCTGCCCCAAGAGGTCCCCAAGAGGCTCAGATCCTTAGCCCACCGCGTTATTCCACACATGCCTGTTCCCGCGGGCGCCTTGCGCCCGCAACCCGCAACTTGGGCGGGATGGGCCAAAGGCCATCATATTCTTATTCATTTTGTATTGGAGAGGAGTTACGGCTGGTGCCGCCGACCCTGAACGACGACGACGACGACGACGACGACGACGACGACGACGTATTGGCTGTAGTCTTGCGCTGCTCGTCGCTCAGTTGGTTTCGCTGAGGGACGCTCGGGGGCCCGCCTCGAGGGCGGCGGTGGTCGGGGGGCGAGGTCGTGCCGAACGGGGCCAGAAGCGAGAGAACCTGGCGGGAGAAGCTGCGGCCCTCTGGACGAGGATCCAGGATAATCGAGTATTGAGGATCGAGGAGGAAGATCGAGGATCGAAGAGGATCGAGAGCCTGGCCCTCGCTTTCTTTCCCCTCCGCAGATGGCCGCGCCTGGGGGGCGCCTCCCCGGGGCGCCCCGCTCGGCGAGCCCCGGTGAGCCCCGGTGATGGCCGCGGCACCATCGAAGTCGTCGTTTGGGCAAAATCGGCTGACAAACATACAACCGATTTCTAGGATTGCTCTACGTTGGACCAGTTAACGTTGCCGAAGACACATAATTACTGCATATGTCAGCGGATCGGGACCATTGGCACTGGGATGGGCCTCAGCGCCACCATTGCGAGATTCGCTGGTCGAGAAGCCCACTTCGTGCGGTGTTCTCCTATCCTTCTGCTGGCCGGTGCATGTATATTTTACGAGCATGAGTTTCACTACGGGCAGAGCGCTTATTCCTGTTAGGTCAAACTGCGAGCACGTAACGTACCATTGGACCGAGCTGATTACATTGGCTGATATAGGATACCCTTCGCTTGCATGGTCATACTGGACAAAGCGAGAAGAGGCTGGGCTGCTACGAGCTAAGGCGATATGGAAATAGCTAGTTGAGCATGGTGAAGGTCAGCGAAGATCTTACAGGGCACGCTGCTATTGGCTGGTCTGCTAAAGTGTTCCGCAGGTTCACTGGGTCGAACCATTCTTAGCCAAGACAAAAAGCGCTACGCTAGCCTAGGTTGATCTGGCATGTCAAAGCCGACACTTACGGGACTAGATCTCGATCGATGGGGCGATAATCTAATCTTGTCCACACCAGACACGAATATGAGCCTTGTTGAAGAAGTCACGCCATTCTAAAGCGCAGCTGAGCCGTGCCAAGTGGATGTGATAAACGTACCGCCGCGCAATGCTATGGGCGAAGTTCGGCTTGCTCGGCGAGGCTAACTAAGCTGAAGCAAAATATAGAGCTTGAGATAAAGCTGAAGCTGAGCTAAGCCGATTCTGGTTTTGCGAAGTTACACGGGTATGGCATGATTGATGCTGTATGCAAGGCTGCTATGCTATGCGAGCTTTGGTCGAGACAAGGTGCATATTAGGGGAAGCTCTCTAGAGCGGCGAGCAATCCATCAGGCTGAGGGACATATATTTGTTCGCTGCGGGATGTCTAACAGGCCAGGGGAGTTTGTACCAGTAGGCATCTTGGTGATCCTTCATCAGGATGCACGAGCCCTTGTGGAGCTGTCATGAGGCACTCGGATGAACAACTTACATGTAGCATCCATATTGGGCTTACGCAATGTTGGGCATAGTATGGATCACTGGTGGGGCGGAGCAGCGGGGGGGCGACCCTCCAGAGGCCTCCAGTCAATGAAAGTGTCAAGCATGCCACTTGCTTTCATGGGCTACTTTTCATGCCCTTCTGTTGTATTGGCAACCTTGCTTCTGGCTTCCGTTTGTTATTATCTGACTTTCTTTGGTGGGCGAACGTTCGGTCCGCTTCGAAGCGTAAGTGGTGTAGAGGTATCGACCTACAGTGACATTGGTGGAGATAGAGCGTGGGACGCGCTTCGATGCAGCAGAAATGACTCATGCCTGCGGCGGGCTTGGCTGTCGATCCACAGCCCACGCCATGTTTTAATCGAAGAACAAAAAACTGCATAAACGTAAACTCCAAGAGCTCCGCGCGGATTCCTTCGATCTGAGTTGGACCGCCTGGCCTGGCTCGCTCTGCGCGCTAGGGAGGGGCGCTGATCCACAAAATTCGTGTTGAGGCCCTATAGTTTTTGTTTATGCAGTCGTTCTTCTTCTATGGTTGTCGATCCACTGCCCACGCCATGCTTAAGATCTGGTCTGAAAAAGGCAGCCGTTGGGGGCGGTGGCATATTGCGCTCTCCTCGCATGCTGTGTCCATAGCGAGGACCTCGCTGCTTGTGGCCACCAACGAGCTGTGCGAGCGCGCGGAGGGGGGGAGGAGAGGGGCACACTCGAGGCTCGTCGCGCCCGTGTCCTTCCAATTTGCTGCATGTTGCCGTGGACAGGGGCCCAGTTGTTCTTCGTGTTCGGCCGCTGGGGGCCCTCGCCAGGCCGTGGGACCGTCAGAAAACTGCTCGGGATGAGATGCTGGCCATGGGGAACGGGCCGGGACTTCCGGCGACCGCGCGTTGCAAAAATCGAGACGTCGCGTTTCTGGGGAGGGGAGGTTGCGGAGGCTGGTCGGAGGTTAGGACGAGGGTGGGTCTGGGATCGGTGTTTTCCCGTGGGACGGGTGGGCATGCGACGAGCGCCCTTCCTTCGCCCCCCGCGCGCCTCTCGTCGCCCCCCTCTGCCACTCCCCCGCCGTCTCCTCGCCCCTCCCTCGCATCATCCCTGGCCTCTCCTCGCCCCCCTCGCATGGAGAAGTTGCACAAAGCACACATTCTCACAGGGGGAGGGCCAGGCCCTCGCCACTCGTCTTTGCATGCTTCCCCGAACAGTGCTTGTACTGCGCGGGGTTTTGTTTCTCGTGTAAATGCTTAGGTGGTTTCCCTGGGTGTTCGCCCTGCCGCCGCGCGTGGTCGCCTCGTGGCCGCCTTCTGCGCTTGCTGGGTTCCCTGGTTTCTCGCCCGGTCGCCGCTTTGTAGCCGCCTCGCGATTGTCTTGTGCGTTTGTCGGGGTCCTTGGGTTTTCGCCTGGTCGCATCGCGTGGCCGCTTCGTGGCCGCAGTGCAGAACCCGTTGTTTGGGTTCATGCTGGCGAACGTTTAGCTGTTCAAGTCCTGGCTGTTTGTCGATATCTTGGCTCAAGAGACACCAGATGTTGCCACATTCTTCTCACGAAGACGGCGGATGGCCCACGATAGCGCATACGCAGCTGGAAAGGCTGGGGATTCCGTTTCCCACATCTATTTATTTGGTTTAGTCTTGGTCTTGGTCAACCAGCTTCGCCAGCCAGGGGCTGCAATTTGGGCGCCCCAGGGCCCTGAGCTCTTGTGACTGGCCCCGCCTGTACGACCAGACTCGTTAGCCGCTTTGGTTGAAGCTTCGTTCTTGTCCCTTCCTGCCCCGTTAGCAGCGAAGGTGGGCAACGAGAGGGGGTCAGTGAAGCGGAGCTCGCGCTCATCGTGGCGACTCGTGGAGGGTGCCGTGCACGGTGCTGCTGGAGTGCAGCATTATGCCGTAGCGACGACGGTATTTGGCTCCGAGGTGGTGCGGGACATCCAGGCGCCATGCGCGGTCGATGTCGAGACCAAGGAGCGGATGGAGGACATCCAGCCGCCTCCTTCGAATGCCGCCGTGGCCAGCTCAGAGGGTAAGCGTGCCAGCAGTCCAGGCTCCCGCATGAAGCTGCGCAGCCGTGCTTCACGTCATGCCTTCGGGGCCAGGTTTTGCGACGGGCGCGCAGGGGAGGAGCAACGGCAAGGGCGCCCCTTGCTCAACAAGGGGGCGGTAGTCCTGGCCTGGCACAGTCGACAAGGAAATCATGGAGCAGGCCGTGGTGGAAGCGTGACCAGAAGCGGAAGCACAGGTCACCAACGTGGTCAGAGGCAAAACTAGCGATGACACCAAGACCACTACGCAGCATTGGAGGTGTGGGCGGGCGTCCTGGGCAGTCGCCCAGCAGTCTCGAGCCCGAGGCGTCGCTTGGGGGTGGGGGGGGCGTCAATCGGGAAGTTTTCCCTGGTGTGTTGCTGCCGGGTCCAGGGGTTGAGCCTCCCACCAGCGGCAGGAGCTCCGGAGAGCCCCTCGGCATGGCACCCCGAAAGTTGCTTCCATGGGCGGCGCGCGTGGCCGCGACCATGACGGCGCGGAGCCGCGCCCGGCAGCGGGGCGCGTGGTGGCGCAGCGGGCACGTCCCGCCAAGGGCTGGCTGAGGAGAGGGAGGACGTGGGAAGAGGGGGAGGACGAGGACGAGGAGAAGGAAGAGTGGAAGGAGACGAGGAGGAGGAGGAGTGGAGGGGGGAGGAGGGAGGAGGGGGAGCGGAAGGTGGAGGAGTGGAAGGAGAAGAGGAGGAGGGGGAAGGGGAGGTGCCGCCTCCCAGCCCCGGGTGGGGCCAGCCAGCCGCTTCAAGGGAGGGCCACGCGCAGAGGGGGGTAGGGGGAGGGAGAAGGCTTCTTAGGAGCACCCCTGCTTCTTAGAAGGCGCGGGCCGTGTCTGTAGATGTAAGGCCCGCGTCTTCTACCAAGCATCCTCCTTCTCCGAAGCCTTCCCCCTCCACCTACCCCCCTCTGCGCGCCGCCAACTTAGGAATCCGGACGTCGGATCCACAGAATCGAGCCACCTGGCTGGATCAGAGCGCGCGGGGGAAGGACTGTTAGGCGGACAGATTGGGTAAAACGGCGACATTGCTCACGGTACGGCCTCGGATGGGCAAGATTTTGATGCATTTGTTCGCGAAGGCGTTTAGCATCATTAATGCCCCATTGTTAGCCGTCTGACGGGTTCGATGCCGTCGATTCCAATTCGATCAGTTCCCGATTCCGTGCCACGGATGCAGTGGAGTCCAGCTAATAGAGGTTGTCAGCCCAAAAACAATGAGCAAGTGTGGGCAGGAGCGCGAGGTGGCAAGCGGCAAGCTCCGACGCTCTGTGGCGCATTGGTGGTCGGCCAGTTGACAGGGCACGTGTCAGAGCAGCACCATTTGTGCAGAAGCTGCTGCATCGATATACGCATTGATCATCGGTAAACTGGTACTTGTTTGATGCGTTCACTGCGGCTCCAAATTCTGGTTGTGGAGTTATTGTGCAGCTCTGGCTGACAATGTGTGACGCCAACTGAGAATTTGCTTACATGTGCGCACATGCAGACGAATGCCTGCGCGCATAGTTGGGGCGAGTGCGTATTTGCGAAAGTTGTCGTATGGGCACGTGAGTTTTATTCCGGTGTGAGTGTTCAAAAAGACATGCGCGTGTTAGTCTGCAACGGTTTAACATATCTGCGAGCACGCGCGCATGTGTGTAATCACGCGAGTGATTGTTGTGTGGTTGTACAGATTGGGTTTGGAGCGCACACTTCTGTAGCAGGTACGAATGCGTTCCTGGCGATTCCGTGCCTGGTCTTATTTGAATGGCCTCCGGCCAGTGCCGCCGATCCGAGGCGCTCCAGATGCTGGTGGTTGACACGACGACGACGACGACGACGACGACGATGGCGACCTCGACGCCGACAACGGACGACTTACGACTAACTGGAGGAGGGAGAAGTGAGGAGGGAGGAGGGAGGAGGGAGGAGGATGGGGAGGAGGCGGAGCAGGAGGAGGACGAGGGGGAGGAGGAGGAGGAACAGCAGGAAGAGCAGGATGAGGAGCGAGGAGGGAGGACGATGATGATGCTGATGATGATGATGATGATGATGATGATGATGATGATGATGATGATGATGATGATGATGATGATGATGATGATGATGATGATGATGATGATGATGATGATGATGATGATGATGATGATGATGATGATGATGATGATGATGATGATGATGATGATGATGAGAGTGCGTGCACAGTAATGACGACACGGGGGCCGTACAGTGACACGAGTAGGGGGAAGGTAGCAAGAGCGTCGCGTGCCTCGCCCGTCCCGTGCTCTTAGCCTTCTGTTGTTCAGGAGGTTCGCGCGCGCCGCCCGCCGCCGCCAGGCCAGCCCGTGCATGCCAGAGTGGCTCGCGGGCGCTGTGCTGGAGGCTGCTCGGGAGAGGCTACGAACGGTGGGCACCGCAAGCCTGGTCTGGGCTGGGCAAGCCGCTCAGGTGTGCCCCGACTGCACCCGCACTCCTAGCCTGGCGGACCCTGCCCTGCAGTGCCCGCCCTGCACGCTCGGGGGCGCGGCCTGCCCGAGCTTTCCTGAGGTCAGCTGCCCGAGGGCGGCGCCGGACCTCAGCAGGTGGTGGATCGTCGTGGTGGTGGTCGCGGGCCTCGTCGGGCAGGCGGCGGGCTGCTGCGCGGGGGCCGTGTTCGGCTCGGGGCTTCGCAGGGCGGCGCAGGGCCGATTCGAGGCCGACCGCGCCAGGTCGCTGGATTCTGGTGTGGTACGAGGGCGGGGAGGCGTACTGACACGAGCGCCTCCTGCTCTGCAAGGGTCCCGCCGCTCGGCCAGCTGCACACGGCTCCGGAGTGGCGACAGATCTTCGACGACGGGGTCGCGATCGCCCAGATGGAGAGGGCGGGGCTCGGCATCGACGACGACGCTGCTAATGCTGAGTCTGAGGCTGTGCGTGATCGGGTGGTCCAGCATGGCTGGGCCGCCGACTCAGGCCTGCCGGTTGGACCGCCGCCCGCTGACGCCGGCGCCAGGGCCGGGGCTCTGGTGGCAGACGGGGGCGCGGCTCCCGCGGCCGACGGCCTGGCCGCCCCGCCTGCTGTACCGCTCGCCGCCGTGGGTGGGGGCGCCGCCATCCCGGGGGCTGGAGCAGCCATGGGGGCCGTGGTGGCGCCCGGAGGCGGCCCCGTCCCTGGCCTGCAGGGGATCGTGGTGGCCAACGACGGCCAGCCGGGGGCGCCCGCCATCGGGTCTGATTGGAGCGTGGAGGCCACAGCCAGTGTCGTGGGCAAGTTCGCGCTGGTCAAGCTTGGAACGGCCACCCTCGTGCTGGAGAGCATTGCGGTCGGCAATAAGAAGAATGCGCTGGTCTCGAGGAAGGGCGAGCTCGGGCAGGCGGTGGTCCGATCTTCTGGGCCGGGTCTGCCAGGAGCTGGCCTTGTACCTCAGGCAGATGGAGACGGGCCGGCGGCTGCCACGCCTCTCAAGTCCGCTGTCGCTCGAGTGCTGCCCATGCTGTACGACCAGACTGGGCAGGGGTTCAGGGCCTACACCAATGCTGTCGGGCTGTTGGAGGAGCCACGGTTCGACGACTTCCCGGTGGTGGGCCCTAGAACGACTGTCTGGCGGTGCAAGTTCATCAGAGACTAGGGGATCGTGGCCCGCCCCAGGGCCGAGAAGTGGATGCGAGATGCCCATGTGCCGGACAACGACAGAGTTATGCACGAGCATGGCAGTCTCATGGAGATACTCGAGGCTGCGCTCACATATGGTCAGCTTGATGTTTCTGCCCTCGCCTCTTTCGAGGTCCTGTCGAGGAGGATTCAGCTGTTGGAGGAGGCGTGCACGTCCAACCCGAAGGCGCCGCAGTTCGAGGGGAGCGGGCACTTCCAGGGCCTTGGCAGGAGAGTCGCGGCCGCGGCGCCTCTACTCACCTCGCACGTGGCGTTGCAGCGCCAAGGCGAAGTTGCGATCCAGAAAGAACGACGCAAGGCCCGCGAGGAGGCGGCCCTTGCGTAGAAGGGCTAGCCGCCCCGCGGTATTTCGATTTTCGTGGCCCAACTCGGGCCGCCACCGAGCTGCTGTCTTCTGCGAGGGCTGCGACGAGTTTTTGACCAAGGCAAGGCGGGAGGTCGACAGCGTGACCTTCTACCTCTGCCTCGACATCGTGATTGGGAAGGCCCTCGCAGCTCACTCAGTCGCGGCGTTCAATGATGCATTTGCCGCCGTGCTTGGATCGACAGGCGCGCCGACGAGAACTTTTTGGGGTCTCAACGGGCTCGAGGGCATCGGTGACAAGTCGCCCAGCGGTCCTGGTGGTGAACAGTCGCGTGCTGCTGCTGCCCTGGCCCGTGAAGCGGCTGGAGCTGCGTCCTTGCCTAAGGAGGGACCCACCCCGCAAGAAGCCCACGCGGCGCTTCTGCATACAGACACCCGCTACGGTGACAGCGAGTGTGCCGGGAACATTGCACCGTTTGGCTCGGCTTCAGTGTCTCTGCCGAGTCGCGACCTGCACGGGGTGGACATCTACGACGTTCTGCCCTCGGTCGCGTCGCACAAGTTTAAGCGGTTTTGCGACACCATTTTTCTCAGTGTCGAGGAGTATGCATTGCATATCAAAAGCGAGGGACTGCCCATTGTTTACTTTGACCCAGTGCTGGAGGCACGTCCTGCGAAGTGGGAGGGTTTTTGTCGGGATATGCGCGACAGTGGACCTGTGCGCAGGATTCGAATTCACAAAGAAAAGGTGGGATTGTTCTTTGCTCGCAAGAAGAGTGGTGGATTACTACTTATATGCGATGCACGAGGGACCAACATACGATTTGACATCCCAGACTCAATGCATCTTGCTACTGGCGACTCGCCCAGCCTTCTTGAGCGCGCCTCTGACCAGACCATCTTCTCGGCCAGCTCCGATATTAAGGACTACTTCGACGAGCTCAGGATCTATGTGGAATTATCTCAGCACTGTGCTCTACCAGCAGGCCGGGCCACGACTGTGGGGGTGGAGAGCATCAGCGGTATCAAGGATGGTCCCAGCGAGCTCTTCTGCCCGGCCCTGCAGTCACTACCGATGGGCTTTTCCTGGGCAGTGTGGGCGGCCTTACTCGTCCATGAGGGGCTCCTGTGGCGGGCTGGTCCTTTTCCAGGTCGCCTTCTTCGCGACGGCGCACCTCCTCCTTTGCTCGGGGGGGAACCTGTTCAGCTGGCATACGTCGGCTACTTCGGGTTCTTCGGCTGTGACATGGCCGAGGTCGAGGCCACGCATCGCCTGGCTCTCAGAGGCATTCGGCAAGCAGGCCTTCACGTGCATGAGATTGAGCAGGTCAGCACTTCTTCGGACATCGTGAGAGGGCGCCTCGATGGGAAGAAGAGGGTGGTCAGGCTACCCCCAGCCAGGGCGTGGCGGCTGCACGCGAGGCCACATGCTCTTGCACGACGCGGGCGCTGCACTGGGAGGGAGATGCGAACCACACTTGGGTACCTCGGTTTCGCTCTCCTTCTTCGGCGCCCTTGTCTGGCCTGCACTGCGGGCACCTTCGCCTTTGCCGAGGCTGCTGGAGGGGGGCCAAAGAACCTTTGGCCGAGCGTCGAGAGGGAGCTCCTCATCGGCGCTACCACCCTGCCGCTGGTCTACGTCGACACTGGGGCGGGCTGGCTCGACCAGGTGGTTGCGACGGATGCTTACGATACTGGGCTTGGCGCCTGCGCTGTTGAGTGGGGCTCGCAAGATATACGAATGACGGGCAGCCGCGACGAGCGCTGGAGGTTCAGGAAGGAGGCGTGGTGCGCCAAGCTCGGGTTCAAGCCCGCGGTTCGTTGCGGGCGCGGGCGGCACAGCAAGATGCTCATGCTAGTGGGCAATATGTCGTCTGCGCTGGCCATGCGGAAGGGCCGCTGTCGCGATCCAGCCCTCCTGGGTCAGCTTCGTCAGATGGCCGTGCTGCAGCTCGCCACTGGGCTGTGGGTACAGTGCCGCTGGGTCTCGTCCGAGGTCAATCCTGCTGATCAACCTTCGCGGCTTGGGGAACCTGCTGGTCCTGCTCTGGGCCATGCATGGCGTCACCCCCCCCGGGCTTCCTCACCCTGATGACGGGCGCGGCGTCGAGGACGCCTGCGAGGATGCGCGGGGTGGCGACGGGCATCGCGACACGCAACTTGGCGCAGCAGGCCATGGCAGGGCCTGCGATGCATCTGGATTGTCACGACCTTCGAGTGCGCGAAGCTGTGCCGCTGGAGGACGACCAGTCGCCTCATGCCGCAGGATCAGGGCCATCCTAGCAAGCGATCCTGGCCCGGCCCCCGGCGAGGCAAGCCGAGCTTCAAGGCGGCTGGCAGTGATTGCGAGTCACAACCTCGACAAGGCGGGCTGCCGCCCGGCGCTCGGCCAGCGGCGGAGGCCTCTCCTACCTCGAGAGCATCGCTGTGAGACCCGTCAAGGTCGAGGACTACCACAGGCGGATTTAGGAGTTGTACGATCCTGGCCGCTGATCCTGGGGCCTTCGAACAGCAGCGAAGGCCCCACCAAGGCTATCGTCTACGACAACAACATGACGGTGGACCACGAGAACTTGCAGTTCCTCGGCCACTTCTTCAAGCTGCACCGCCAGGAGATGGGGACGAGCGACCCGCCGTGGGGCCTGACGCAGGCGGAGTTCAGGGCCATGATCGCGGAGGCGCTAAAGGTGTGCCGGCTCGAGGGCCTGGGGACCATCTCCCTACGACCTTCGGCGCGCAGGCCAGCCATGGGTCGTCATCACGGGCAGGAGATCTCAGGTGGAGATCCAGCGTCTCGGGCGCTGGGCCAGCATGAGCTCTCGCATCAGGTGCGAGCAGTCCAGCAAGGTCATCCTCCTGCTCGTGGGCCTAGGCGACAACACCCAAAAGTACCTCAGGCTCGGCATGGCGCACCTGGGGTACATCCTCCTCAGCACGGTGAGCGCACCCCGACCGCCTGCCTGGAGCGAGGCTACATGTTCCTCGACATCTTCGCTGGTTCCGAGGGAGTCAGCAAAACAGTGTCGAGGTGTGGCATCTCGGCGCTCGAGATGCAGCTCGAGCTTGAGATCGACAGTTTTGCGCCTGGAGTAATAAAGGCACTTCTGAAGATGATCCGCTCATGCCGCGTATAGATAATGCTCGTGGCCACGACATACCGCTCAATCAGTATAGCCGGATACTATTCATTCTCCTGAGTATCGTTCATGATCGTGAACCCCGCCTCCTCTATGCTCTGTTTCGTCCCGTTTTTGCAGCACATCGCAGAATCCGTCCGCTAAGTCTGTTGTGTTCGACCAGTGCCTGTTCGGGAATGACTTCAGGAAGCGGACCGCCATCTTGCATCCTCAGATCTCGACTACTCTTTCCTGAACTGAAGATGTGTGGG